GGATGAGGCGGAAGGATTGCCGGAGCCCAGCAGGCGAGGCTGCGGTGGCCGGGAACGGCCACTGCACTCCAGTCTGGGCAACTGAGTGAGACTCCAACTCAAAAAAAAAAAAAAAAAAATCTAAAAAACTCAAATGTGAAATGTGGACTGGCCGGGCTCGGCCTGTAATCCCAGCACCTTGGGAGGCTGAGGCAAGTGGATTGCCTGAGCCCGCAGGTTCGAGACCAGCCCAGGCAACTTGGTGAGCCCTTGTCTCTACAATAAAAAAATTAGCCGGGGTGGTAGTACACGCCTCTAGCTCTGACTACTTGGAAGGCTGAGGCGGAAGGATTGCCGGAGCCCAGCAGGTCGATGCTGGGGTGGCCGTGAGTGTGCCGCTGCACTCCAGCCTGGGCAATGGAGTGAGACTCCAAGTCAAAAAAATAAAAAAGAAAAAGAAATGTGGACATTTGTCCAAATCTCACACCTTTTGGGGAAAAGGCAAGGAGTAGGCATTACTTTTATATTAGAAGGAATCAGCACAAAGCCTGAAGCAATTAATAGAAGCTGTGCCTCATCTCTGGGTTTCTGGTGACTCCCCTGGACAAGCCTGGGCAGGTGGCGGTGGCATCTGATACGTGACAGGAAAGAAGCCCGGGCAAGAGGGGAGGGGTCGAGGATGCTTTGGGGAGGGAATGGGCGCCTGGAGGGTCAGCAGTTGCATTTCTTTATCTAGGATGTTCTCCATAGGGCAATGATGATCATGAGAGTCCGTCCTCCTAAGGCACGCTAGGTACTGACCGATTTCTGTGGGCCCAGAATTCTCACTTTAACACAGAGGATAAATTGGCATTCTTTAATTCTGTTTGTTTTTTCCCAAGAAATCTTCACTGGCTTTTTGCCAGGTGACCAGAACTCATTGCTTCAAGAGAGCAGTTGAAAAGCGTCTGGGAACTAACACAAATCTCTCCTCTTCCATACCCAAGGTAGAATTATTCGGAGCCTTTCTGTTCTTTCGACTGTGTGTAGTTTGGGGGGCAACAAGGAATGGCCTCCTGCTACCAGCTCCTCAAAAACAGAGGTGGTGGAATTGGAGAGATAATTGTTTTTAATGTAAAAGTAAAAACCAGGAGCTGCTGAAAAAGGCGTCCTCATCAGGGCAGTGCCCTTCCGCTGCCAGAGGTGGGGGGTTGGAAGTCGAGAAAGAACAGGACACTGACTCGTGCTACTACTCAGGAACTAACAGAGACTCCCTAGAGAGAAAGCCAAGGGACAGAAGCATCTGCCTGCCACTGCCCAGCACAACTGGCGAATCTCCTGGGGCTAACATTCCACAGGTGGGAAAGGGATTCCACAGCAGCCACTTCAGTGCCACACCTCTTCCTGACCCTCCTGTGGGGGAAACAGGCCAACACCCCCCAGCCACACCTTCCAGCAGCTTGGAACGAGGGAGATTAGAGCTTGAACGTGCTCAGCCAGGAGGGGTGGGCGTGACACTGGAAGGAAACTAGCTAATTATTAAGGAAATCAAGATCACGCACCTGTTTTCTCTGCTCTTAACGCAGCAGACACGAATACAGCAACCAGACGAGATCCGGCAATTCAGGGTGGTACAGCCACAGACAAATACAGCAACCAGAATACAGAACAATCTAAGCAACCATCAGGGCCAATGGAAAAAAATCTTGACTTTCGCGAATCCCATGTCCCCTCTGACCTCTGGCACACTAATCAAGGCATCCAAAAACCCTTCAAGCATCACTCCCTAAATGCGACACTAAAACAGAACATAAAGATACACTGTGTGAGAAAGCTGGAAAAGACACACGAACATTCTTGCAGACCTTATCATGACCAACTTTTAAAACAGTACTGCTTTAGGGAGACGGTTTTAGTTTAAAAAATAAATTTCAAAAAGAAAGCACATTTAAAAATCAGGTTTTGGTGATCAGGGTAGGTAAAGTATTTTTATTATAAACTTCAGGATCTAAAAAGTAATTTGTTACATTTACTAAGGTAAATCTGAGATGACTTTTTAAAATCAAGCATGTGTGCCCTGCAGAGTGACACTGTGACCCTCAGCTATGGAAGGACACAGTTCCACCCCTCCTGGGATGGAATCAGCCAGATGAAAGAGAATTATGCTGATTTTCAGCAAGCATTTACTCATTGGGATCATTTTGGTTCCTTACCCTAGCATTTGGGCTGGGAAGGGTTCAGGCGAAGAAGCCTCCACTCTTGAACTCTGAAAGCCAAACTAGAGTCTCAAGGGTGACTTCTTGAAATCCCAGTTTCTTTTTTCCCACTTAGTAGTTCAATATATTTAGGAGACTTTCTATATTTGATAAGAGTTACGATCCAAGTGGCTCTGTCAGCCCAAGCGCGAACACGCCTGCCACCCGGCAAGAGACCCACAGAGCCGGTCCGTAATGCGACTGAGGTCAGGTACTGCAACACGTGTACTAGCCCAGGGTTAGCGGACAGGGACCACCCAACAGCAGAGGCGCTGTTGGCAGGCAACCTGGGGAAGAGGGCTGACAGCTGACAAGAAGTGCCGGAGAGGCTGCCCTCGTGCCTCGACAGGAGACAAACGCCCCTCCCTGGCCAGAGTTCTGGCAACTGCACTCGCAGGTGGGGAACCTCGGGTCTCTTTCAAGCTGTTTTGCACACGATTTTTACACAGATTCCTAAAGGCAGCATCTTCCCAAGGAGGGGGTTTCCGGGTCTCGGGGGCCTGCGCAGCGCAGAGCGAGCCTCTCCTCGGCGTCTCAGCAGGGCCTGGGCTGAAGGGAGCAGCGCAGTCCCCGAGGCAGCGGGGAGGTGAGGTGGGCGCACGCGCAGGGCGCGGGGGTGGCAGAGGACCAGCCGGGCTCCTGGGAGGTGCACTTCCGGGGTGTGGGGAGTGGCTGGCCGGGGCCTCAGCCGAGCGTCTCCCCTGGAACTGCGACTCCGCGTGGCCCTGCGTCGACCTCCAAGCAGTGGCCCTCGGGGGCGATGCCGACGCGGGGGACATTTGGCAACGTCTGCGACGCTCTCGGTCGTCACCGCTGGGCGGGGGCCGCG